TCTCGTTACGATGAACAGCCCCTGCCAATTTGGGGCGAACTTGCCTTTTGCTTCAGCCTGATGTGGAAGGATACGTTTCAATACTTGTTGACCTAGCTCAAACTTCCGTGGACGCACCTTCTTGTTATATGCTCTTGCCATTCTTTGTTTACAACTGACCATGACATACTACTGCCAGTCGTTTTTCATGGATCAAACTCAATTGTTCCAGGAGGGTTTTGACCCATTCATCATCGTCAATTTCGGCTTCTGCGACAATTTGAAGGGATGGGATTTCAACCTCTACGGGTATCACTGCTTCAATACCATACACCAACGAATAAGGAGTTGCCAATACCAAAGTACAAACAGTAGTGCGATAACCCAACAATGCAAAGGGTAACTTTTCATGCCACTGTCTGGAACCTTCCACCATTTTCCGAAGTATCTTCTTTATGTTCTTGTTGGCCGCCTCGACTGCTCCATTCGCCTTAGGGAGGTAAGGGGTGGAATTGCAATGTGTAATCTTGAACTGCTGACATACCTCTTTAAATAGATGACTATTGAGATTAGAACCATTATCTGTAATGATCACCTTTGGGATCCCAAACCGGCAAATGATATTTGAGTGCACAAAATCGACCACTACTTTCTTGGTCACAAACTTGAACATTTTAACCTCAACCCACTTGGTGAAATATTCGATGGCCACCAGAATGAACCTGTGTCCATTTGATACTATTGGCTCAATTGGCCCAATGACATCCATTACCCACGCAACAAAAGGCCATGGTGTAGACATTGTGCGCAATTCATATGGTGGAGAATGAATCAAATCTCCGTGCACTTGGCATTGATGACACTTGCACACGAAACTGATACAATCTCGCTCCATAGTGAGACAATAATAACCTGCTCGGAGAATCTTCTTTGCCAGCATGTACCCACTCATATGTGGTCCACAGACTCCAGAATGTACTTCATTCATGATAGTTGTGGCCTGTCTAGCATCTATGCATCTCAACAATCCAAGATCCAGAGTCCTTTTGTACAAAACCCCTCCACTGAAGAAAAATCCACTTGCTAACCGCCGATTTGTTCTCTTTTGATCACCTGTGGCTTGTACTGGATACACCCCCATCTAGGTATATTCCTTGATATCATGAAACCAAGGCTCACCATCAAGTTCTTCTTCCACCACATTACAGTAAACATGCTGATCATGGACCTGAATATGCAAAGGGTCCACATAAGCCTTATCTGGATGATGTAACATTGATGCTAAGGTGGACAAAACATCAGCAACCTCGTTATGGATCCTTGGAATATGCCTAAATTCTACTGATCGAAACTGTTGACAAAGATCATAGAAACATTGCCGATACGGTATTAGTTTTAAATCCCGTGTTTCCCATTCCCCCTGGATCTAGTGTACCAGAAGGTCCGAGTCTCTCAAGACCAAGACTTCCTGGACACCCATGTCTGCAGCTAATCTCAAACCCAAAATGCATGCCTCGTACGCAGTCATGTTGTTAGTATAATAGAAACGAAGTTGAGCCGTAACAAGGTAATGATGCCCTATTTCGGAAATAACTACAGTTTCTATCCCAACGCCTTTCATGTTAGAAGCTCCATCAAAGAAAAGTTTCCAACCTGGCTCTCCAACTTGTTCCAACTCATCAATATGCATTACCGCTTCATCAGGGAAGTAAGTCTTCAAAGGCTCATATTCTTCATCCACTGGGTTCTCAGCCAAATGATCGGCCAATGCCTGGGCTTTCATCGCAGTCCTATTCACATAGACGATGTCAAATTCTGTGAGCAAGATCTGCCACTTTGCGAGCCTCCCTATAGGATAGGCTTTTGAAAGATATACTTTAACGGATCCAAACAAGAGATGAGGTAAGTAGTGTAAGATGACAAATAGTATTTCAACTTCTGTGCAACCCAAGTTAGGGCGCAACATGTCCTCTCAAGGTGAGTGTACTTAACCTCGTAAGATGTGAACTTCTTGTTGAGATAATAGATGGCCTGCTCCTTCCTGCCGGTGATGTCATGCTGACCCAGCACACAACCAAACGAATGGTCCAAAACCGTCAAATACAGAATCAAAGGGCTCCCTAGCTCATGTGGCACCAACACAGGTGGGTTTGACAAGTACCCCTTTATCTTATCAAATGCTTCTTGACACTCATCTATCCACTTGACCGCATTTTCCTTCTTTAATAGTTTGAAGATAGGCTCACAAGTTGTCGTAAGCTGAGCAATAAACCTGCTGATGTAGTTCAACCTCCCTAATAAACTCTTCACCTCAGTCTTGTTCCTTGGGGTGGCAATTCTTGGATAGCTTTGATCTTTGACAGGTCCAATTCAATACCTCGACGACTGACTATGAATCCTAACAGTTTTCCAAACGGCACCCCGAATGCGCACTTTGCAGGATTGAGCTTAAGATTGTACCTGCGAAGCCTTGGGAAGAACTTTCTCAAATTTCTAACATGGTCAGACTGCTTTCTAGACTTTATGATTACATCATCCACATAAACCTCGATCTCTTTATGTATCATGTCATGGAATATGGTCGTCATTGCCCTCATGTAAGTTGCCCCAACATTTTTCAAACCGAAAGGCATAACCCGATAGAAATACGTTCCCTATAGCGTGATGAATGCCGTCTTTTCCACATCTTCCTTATCCATTAGAATCTGATGATAGCCTGTATAGCAATCCACAAAAGACCCCAATCTCATGTTTGGCGCAATTATCAATCAAAATGTGGATGTTTGGAAATGGGAAGTTGTTTGGGCTTGCCTTGTTGAGATCTCGATAATTAACACACACCCTGGTCTTACCATCCTTCTTTGGTACATGCACGACATTGGCTAACCAAGTGGGATACCGCGTAACTCGAATGACCTTTGCCTCAAACTGCATTGTGACCTCTTCCTTAATCTTTACACTCATGTCTGTTTTAAATTTCCTCAACTTCTGCTTGACGGGAGGGAATGCCGGGTCAGTGGGAAATTTGTGAACCACCAAGTTAGTGCTTAGACCCGGCATGTTGTCATATGACCATGCAAAAATATCCTTGTACTCAAACAATGCTTTAATTATCTTTTCCCTGAGTTGAGGTTCAAGATGGACACTTATCTTAGTTTCTCTAATATTATCTGGGTCCCCTAAATTGATTGCTTTTGTATCACTCAGGTTAGGCATGAATGTTTCTTCAAAATGGCTTAATTCTTTACTAATCTCTTCAAAGGCCTCATCCTCATCATATTCCGATTCATCATCACACTCTATTTCTTGAATTACTATTTTTGAATTAGATTGGCTTTTAAGACTGGGCCGAAGATTCCTCATGCATGTCATGTCATTGAAACCAGCATAAAAAGAATTGTACAAGGAAGAAAAGAAAACAAAAATAAAACTATCAGGAATGAAAAAAAGGGAAATTGCATTTCATTGAAATTGAAAGATAACAAGGTTTATACATCCAAACGGACGGAACATAGAATCTGAATTACAACCCTGGAATAATCCAGATAAACATGAAAGAAAATCAAAGAAAACTACCAAAACTCCTTCCTAGTAGGGAGAGGAGTAGCTTCCCAATTGATAATCTTTGTAGTGGGTCCAACAAATTTCACATCCGCCTTGCTAGAACCCTCTCCAGCTTCCACCATGTTCACATCATCGAATAACTTCTCGAACCTTTTAATCAACTCTTTATCAGGACCAACCGCAGAACTCAGAACTGTTGTTACTGGGCGTTTCTTGGTGCCAGGCCTGACAAATGAACTGGAGAGACATGGGATGGGCTTTGGGAAGACCTATGCCCTCTGTTTCAACTTTATGGCTCTTTTTATGTCCGCAACTGTGGGCTTGAACCCCAAACCAAATGTATCCAAGTTTTTGGGGAGAGACACCGGCTGTACGATACCTTGCAGAGATGCACCCAAACCCTTGCTTTGTACAAAACCATTTTTCAACATTTCAATGGCTACTATGACTGATGCAGCAGCTACCCTCGGAATTGGGACGCACTTCCCTTCTGCAATCTTCTCTACCGACACCGTGTCAAAAACCTGGTAGACCCAAGGACCCTTATCATCTTCAACCTCAATGAACGGAACAATGGCATCACCGGGAGCACAATGATTTCTTGTCTATCCCATTCAAACTTTACTATCTGATGCAGTATAGACGGGACTGCTTTGGCAGCATGAATCCAGGGTTAACCCAATAGCACATTGTAATTTACAGTCACATCTAGCACCTGGAATTCCATGGTAAATTCAACTGGTCCTATTACTAGCTCGAGCACTATGTCACCGACTGAATCTTTCCCTCTACCGTCGAACCTCCGAACACAAATATTGTTCTTGTGAATTCTTTTATCATCCACTTTCAATTTGTTCAGAGTGGAGAGAGGGACAATGTTCACACTAGAACTATTGTCGAGCAGTACCCGAGTAACCACGGAATTTTCGCATTTCACCGTAAGATAGAGAGCTCTATTGTGCTCAGTACCCTCCACGGGCAACTCATCATCAAAAAAAGTGACTCTATTTACCTCAAATATCTTGTTTTCTATCTTTTCTAAATGGTTTACTGAGATTTTGTCAGGAACATGAGCCTCGTTTAGGATTTTCATCAAAGCTCGACGGTGCTCGTCTGAATGGATTAACAATGACAATAATGAAATCTGAGTAGGTGTCTTCCTCAACTACTCCACGATGGAATAGTCTTGCACTTTCATCTTTCTCTAAAACTCTTCTGCCTCTTCCTCGGTCACAACTTTCTTCACTAGCATTGGTTTATCTTTGGAGGTTTTAGCTTTTCTTAACTTCTCGGGGGCAAAGCATCTCCCCGATCGAGTCAATCCATGGGTCTCATAGACTTCTTCTTTGACTTCTTTGCCTTTGTAAGTTACTGTCACCCGTTCATAATTCCACAGGATGGCCTTGCTGTTGACTATCGATAATTGAGTTACCGGCTTGATAATGACAGGATCTGTGCGGGCACCCTCCACAATTACAATAGGCTTGTTCGCCACTCCTGGCACAACCACTTTTGCTCTTTCTTGTTTTACTACAACATCACTTGAGGTCCCCTTCTCGACCACCGCAGATGGTTCACTATTTGCTCCGCTCAACCTGATCACTGATTTCTCACTTGTTGACTTTCCAAACGGCCTGGCTTCAGTGGATCGAATCATCATGACGGCCTGCGAAGGATTCTTAGGCTCCCCTCCTTTATGCACTATCTCGATCATATTTGTCTCATGATGGGCCGACAATAGATTCTGGTTGATATTGGGCGCCTCTAGAGCTTGGACTTCAATTCGATTGGTATCAAAGAGCTCTTGAATAGTTATTTTCAATTGCCAGCATTTCTCCGTGTCGTGACCCAGAGCACTAGAACAATATTTGCAACTTACAAAATGATCAAGATTTCTCGGGGGAGGATTTGGCAGTTTTGGCTCTATCGGCCTCAACATATCCAATTGTTTCAACTTGTGGAAAAAACTAGTGTAGGACTCTCCTAATGGAGTGAAGGTTTTCTTTTTCTGCAACCTCTCATTCTTCAATGCTTGATTGGGCTGAAAACCTAATCCAGGAGGGTTTCAGTAGGATTTTGGGGGTGGATAGGCATTTTGTGGAGCTGGGTATGTATTTTGTGGGACTGGCGCACGCCATTGTGCGTGGGCAGGAGGTTGGCTATATGTTTGGGCATAGTGGACAGAAATATAGGGGTCTGGTGGTGGGTAGTAGTGTTGGGGTAGATTATATGGGGTGTGGGGGTAGGTTTGGTGATGGGGACCAAGCTGATGATAGTGGTAAGGTGAACCCCTGGATTCGAACCAAGTTCTTGACTCAACTGTTGTGACATCCTCTTTCTTCTTCTTTCCAATTGCTCCCCCAGTACCATTTTGAATGGCCTGGGTGGTTGCCTTAATAGCTGAGTAGCTCATGATTTTGTTGGACTTAAGCCCTTCTTCTACCATGCCCCCCATCTTCCGTGATCCTGCTGAGTGTACCACTCCAGCGCTGAACCACTCAGACTCTGACTGAAATATGCTATTAGCAACTCGTCTTTCCCGCCAGCTCTCCTCATATTGCTACAAAACTCTCTCAAATGTGCCACTAGATCAGTAGGCCCATCGTACAAATCAAACTTGGGCATCTTAAACCCTATCGGCAATTGCACATTTGGAAATAGACATAGATCTTCGTAAGCCACACTTACTTGACTTCCCAACCCCCTCATGTCTCTGAATGACTGTTCTAGGCTTTTAACTTTCCTGAATATCTCCTCCTATTTGGGATTTTTGATGGTTTCTCAGCCTCCACAGGGAGATCAAAATGAGGCGTGTAGGAATAGGGTTCTGGAGCTTTGAAAGTGGGCTCCGGGGGGTAATACTGATTATCATGAGCAGGGAACAAAGGCTCGCTGGAGGATCTGTGGAGTGTAGCGGGAGGGGTACCACGAAAACTGGAGTGGCTGGTGGAGGAGGGTATGGAACTGGTTTGGGTGGTGGAGCTGGTGGTGTTTGGGAAGTTGTGCTCTGGTAATGTTGGTAAATGGGAAAGCTCGAGGACGAATAGGTGGCAGGATGATCCTGAGACTGAGCCAATGGCGGGATGAAGGCAGGGTTGGTGGGGTAAGCTGGTGGTGGTTGCCCTTTTGCCCATGCCTGGTACATTTCGGCCATCTGCTATTTCAGCTTATACATCTCTTCTTTCATCAAATTAACCTCTGACTCTTCTACCTCTCTCGAAGGATTGATAACACTCGCATCAAGTTCTTGATTAGCCATGATCGTCTTGTTTTTGGACCGGGTGTTGTATGGGTGAGTTGCCAGAATTCCACACAAATTAACCACCTGCCTGGTACTTGACAACAACAACAAACTTGTTAGTGATCAGGGTTTAACAGATAGGCAACCGCACATTTGGGGAATGAATGCACCTAAGCAGTTAGCCATTTCTATTATGCATTTGATCGGTTGCTTACGTCATCCTGACTTTCCCTTATTTCTATTTGCAACCACTCTTTTTCTCTTTTTTTTTTTCTTTTTCATTCTTGCCTTTCTTTGTTTAATTTCCCTTTGTTTTTTTATTCTCTCATTTCTCTCTCTTATTTTGCCATTGTTTCCTCCCCACGGTTTCTTTTTTTTTCTTTTCTGTTTTTTTGTTTTATATATTCTCTTTTTTTCTTTTTCTTTTTCTTTTCCTTTCTCTTTTTTTTCTTTCTTTTGGTTATGGTCGAATCCTATGGAGATTGCCTACGTATCATAACATCACATGAATCAGACCGAGTATAGTTCTGGGGTATAAGTGTAAAAATAAAATATTTTGGGATTTTCAAATTTTCATAAAAAGAAAATGCTTTGAATACAACGACTCAAAAACTAACAGACTCAAAAAGACACTAACAGACTTTGATGAAAAGATGAAAATACAGACTAACAAACTCCAACAGAAAGATGAAAATACAGACTCAAAAATAGACTAATAGACTTCAAAGAAACTTACGAATACATCAACGCCTCAACTGCTCCTAGGGCCCGCGGGACATCATTCGGTCTCGCCATGGGCCTAAACGCTAAATCGCCTTGGAGGTGGTAGAGATCTTCCATTATCTGGCGGACAAAGGTCATCACGATGGCAAAGAACATGGATCTAGTCATATCCTCACAACTACTACACTTCATCGCGATGTAGTCGGCGATCCTTCTGACTCTCTCTCTTATGACACCCTTTTCTTGCAACAAACGCCCAATATTCTGGGCCCTGGCTTCCAAAGTTTGTTCGGCTACATGATTCTGTTCTTGAAGTTGTTGCAAATCTCTTTCTAACTGTGTCATTGCTGCGTGACAATGTTCCTTTTCTACCTTAAAGTCTTTTGCCTGCTTGATCATTTTGTTCTCAAAGATGGTGACCCTTTTCTTCAACCCCACAACCTCATTGTCATATTTATCTTTTAATTGCTTAATCAAGCGCTCTCGTTCCTCCGCATTTTTAGCCAGCTTTGTTCGAGCCCTTGCTAATTCTCCCTCTTCCTTGTTCAAATCGAAGCCATACTCACTCACCTTCTGCCTAAGGTTCTTTATAAGCTTTTTATATTTTGCACTTCTAGCGGGATTTTTAGCTGCTATTTTCATTTCCCGAATCTGGCCTCGAAGGGCCTCATTTTCTTTGGCCAACTTTTTCTTTTCGCCCTCATCCGCAGCAGCTTGCAAACCATTCTCGAATTGAAGGTCCTTTACTTGCTTTTCCAGCTTGCTTATGATAGCCCTGTACTCATTTTATTTGGCCAACTAATCCCATTGCGCTTGTGACGCCTCGATGAATTCTTGAAGATGGGGTCTTTTGGCCGGCCTTCCAGACTCAACTTCCCTTTTATACCAAGCAAGGTATCCGGGTGAAACTTCACCTTTGGATAGATCACGCACACAAGTATTTGCCGTCAAGTATTGACACTCGCTCCAGATTTGGCGAACTGCTGCTTCATGGAATTGACCATCAGGACCAACCATGACTGCCTGAGCACTAAGATCTTCATCTTTTGGAACTATTTGACATCTCCCTAACTGTCTCAAAACCCGGTATGGGGTATAAGGCTGGATACTTCTGAGACCCATCAGGAGGAAGTGAGGTCCGGTAGTTGGCATGTATACGATTTCATCTATAGGAAGCCACCCGAACGTCCATTCTATTTGGTCTGCAGTGATGGAACTGAGATGTGATATCCATTCTGTGACCCCTTTTGGTAGGTTAAACCCGTCAACCCTTGTATAAAATTCCTCTATGCAGTTTTTCTCTGTCGACCCATAGCTCATGTATTGAGGACAATGACATAGATGTTCAATCATCCACATTTGTAGCAACACGTTGCACCATTCAAAAGAGTCTCCTTCGACTTTGCAGGCTGTGAGAGCGCGGGAGATTTTTGACACTATAATGGGTGCGAGGGTGCTTTTGGCCTGAGTAAGCAAAGTACTGACGACCCCAGCTATACGTATATCGATATTTCCATCTTTCCTAGGAAACACCAGAAGACCCAAGAATACCACCATAAAAGCAAAGCACCTGTGTTCTTCCCATTTGAGGCGATTCCCTTTGCTATAAATTTTGTTTTCTAGATTGTTAAACCCGCCTATATGACCATATCTCTGGTATATAAACTGCGGAGTGGAAAAACCGGCTGCCAAATCTGGGTTGTGGACCCCCAGCTTATCTTTAAAGAATCTAGGAATCTGTGTACAGCGACGACTCTTGGAGCAACCAAATACTTGTGTCTCAGAGGAACTTCAGCGCTCCCAATATATCCGGCTATTTCTTCCAGAGTTGGGGTGAGTTCAAAATCTGAGAAATGAAAAACGTTATGGGCCGAGTCCCAGAATGTAACCAACGCCTTTATGATGTCCCCTCTAGGCCTGATCTTCAACAACCCGGTGAGTCCTCCCAAGTATAGATTAACCTTATCTTGCCCTAATTTACCCAGATCTTCCCACCACTTACACAGCTCCAAAGGGATCTTGTTCATGACTGTTATTGGCAAATTTTGACTCGTGCTCATTCTGCACATTTATTAGGGTGATTAAGCAAAATCATGACTCATTTGACTCAAGAAAAGTTTTTTTCAAATTGTCATTTAAAAAATAAAACACGGCTTTGCAAATACGGCCTTTCAGCACTTCCGGGGAGAAGATTTTAAGGCTGTGCTTGCTAACCGGCCAAAAATTCGAAAAAGAGACCAAAGGTGGTTGTTCTTGCTAAAACAGCCTTCCGACATCCTTTTGGGGACATTAAGCTTTTTTAGACAAAAATGGCATCACCCTGCTTATTTAAAATAAAAGAAAATATTTGTTCTTTTTGGGCTATTTTTGCAAAAGGGAAGTTGGACCCGATGGGGGTTGCCTACGTATCCCACATCCTGTAAGAATCGAACTGGCATAGTTCGGGCAGATTTGATAAAAACCACCTATTCTTTTAAAAGGAAAACAGAAAATTTTTGTCAGAAATTTGGCCGAGTTTCAGTGTACTGGTTTTTTTCAAAACAGGTGATTATCTCTCTGTGCCCTCATGTCAATTTTTCTTTTCCAACTCTCATGTAATCATTCATAGGCCGGTCAGCATGCAAATCCGAAACAAATAAATGCACAAGTAGCAAGTAGGATGCATCAGGATGGTCTTTTCATTTCGGGTACACCTATCCTAGACAGACCCAACCCCTGTGTTGAGTCTCCAAAGTCAAATGCACATGATGCAAACAAACGTTCATACTAGGGATCTAGTATGAGGCTGAGTTATTCTAGGTTCAAAACTTGGGTATGTGTTCTAGACTGTGTACCCGAGCGGACAACTCGAGCCGAGGAGGGGGTTACGTACCGGATACCAAAAGGCCATCCGGCTTAGTAACTTGTCCGAGCCTCTTTCTTATTTCAAGGTATGACACTAACAACATAAGGAGTCTCGAACAACGAGCACATCCCGAAGATGAGAAGAGAAGGGTCTCATAGCAGTTTATATACAATTCAAATAATATCAAAGCGGTAAAAGCATCATTTAACACATTAGGCCCAAGCATGTAATCAGATAACATATAAATCCAAATACAACAATTCATCTAAGCTTGAATTCTGAACCCTGAACCAGTGATTCTAGGTTTGATCCCCAACAGAGTCGCCAGAACTGTCATACCTCCTTTTTACTACACCCCGGGAGGCATATATAAGGGAGTTTTTTCCAACTTTAAGTGACAATCGAAACAGAATTATTTTATTTAAAATTCAAAGTCGCCACTTGGATAATTTATGGTTTCCCAAGTCACTGGTTCAAATCCCGAATCGAGGAAAGATTGACTCTATTTTACAGTCCGCGAACACAAAAGTTCGGGAAAGGAATTCTGTTAACCCGGGAGAAGGTGTTAGGCATTCTCAGGTTCCGTAGTTCTAGCATAGTCGCTCAACTGTTACAATTGGCCTATTATCTTATTTTAATACATGTTTTAGCCTATGGTTTAATTTTAACTTTATAAGTGCCTTTATTCATTTTTAAGGAAGATTGCAACATCATTTCAAATACATCTTGAACCACGTCACATAAATGCACCCGCAGTCCGCACCACATTTTATCTAACGTTGTTGAGATTTGGATTTGGGTCACATAAATGCGCACCTGAGTTTCGGAAGGTAAACTATTAAATAGCGTGCCTAAAGCAACTACGCATTTTAAATCAGCGAGGGCCATGGAGATTCAACTAAATGGAACGCCTCGAATTCTAAGGATAAAAATTAATTGAGTGAGGGCCATGGGTTTCGGGATTTTATTTGGAATGGCATGCCTCGAATTATTCCAAAGGGTTTTATTATTCGAAGTTGTTATGATCGGGTCGCATGAAATGCACCCCCGAGTTTTGGAATTAGGCATCGTAACTATGTCACATGAACCGTACCCATAGTCACAATGGTTTATTAATTGTGCGTACGGCAGCTAATGCATACTTATGATTCTTCTTCCAAATTTGGAATTTGCTGTAAAGTCAAGATTATGGATAATGGGATCACTATGGAATAATTGTCATTGGGCCTTTTGTAATTAATATGTGTCATTTACTCTTGGCTTAGAGAAAATGACTAGAACAATTAAGCAAACCTATATAAAAGTGGCAGAGAGGCAATATCAAAGTCAGACACACAAAAATTATTTTCGCTAAAATTGAATCTGGGATGCTAGAAAATTTGACATTAACGCATCTATCGCGTTCATGAGAGCAGCAGAGGTACAACAGCATTCTTCAAAATGACTACTAGATTTTCAACTTTTGAGAAGTAAAAAAAACGACCAAAAGAGAAGGTATCACTTTCTTTGCTTTTGTTGTGCATTTATATTTAACCCATCATTTTAAGAAAGATTAAAATTTGGTTGTTCATTTTACTGTGAGAGATAGAACCTTTATGAATATAACATAGTATTTCAATATTGGAAAAGAAACGAAAAGTGACTTGAGCAGCATTTCGCATTACACTGGTACAGACTGCTCAAAAGCATCTATTAAGGTGGCAGCCCAAATAACAACTTAAGCCTCAATGCAATTTCATAGATTTTTCAATTTTCCTAATCAGGCACCATAAGAGATAATATTCCCAAACAGTAATTAAAAGATGGTGTCTTCAACATGAATAAGCATATCAGCTATGACAACACGTTAATCAAAACAAATTGCCTAAAATACTGAGATAGCAGAATTCCAAGTCATGAAACAAACTCACATGAATTAATCAAGGGACCCAACAGTTTTAATCATTAAAATGAAAAGAAAAAAAACAGAATACAAGGGGGATTCCAACTTACCTAATTAAGCAGTAGAGAAAATGACTGAAACAGGTCCAAAGAAATCCAAAAACCAGTCGCTACAATTACAGCTTGGTCAACTCCGGAGCAACGGTAGAAACAAGGATCTCGGCTTGAGTATAACAACCTCCCAAAAGAGAAGCGAAAACAGCCATAGATTCGAACTTTGATAGCTTGTACAAACCCAATAGAAAAAAAGAAGTTGAATTTCTAAATCAATTTTCCTTCAATCTTCCTTTAAATATTCCAATTCTTCTTTTGTTTTTCAAGCTTGGCGATTTCAAATCTTCATTTGAATTTTCTTAGCTTTATTTCAGTCGTGTGTTATTTGTGACGAATGAGTGTGTATTTATGCCGGCTAAGGTTGGTCCTAGAGGGAAAGGGTCCGATTTTTGTTCTTATTGAAGATGAGAGAGGTCTCTTTCTGGTTCAGCAAGAGATGAGGATGAAGAATGGGGAAACGACGCTGATATGAGGGAGTCCGTTAGCTGCTAGTTTTCCTCCATTGAAGTCTGATCCCTCGGTCTTTTGAGGTGAAGATGAGAGCCAAAAAGGGGAGTGGATGCGTCGTGACTCTAGGCCATGTAATTGAAGGGGACTTTGGTTTGGGCCTGGGGAAAATCAGCTGATCTGGCCCAAAATCAATTTCTTTTCCCAATTCTTTCCCTTTTCTTTCTTTTTATTTTCTTTTTATTTATAAATTAAAATTAAAAACAAACCTAAATTAATTCCTAATACAAATTATCTAATCAAATTAAATACTAAAAACAATACTTACTACTATCAATTAAAATCGAATTAAAGGAAAATTAACAAAATTCAAGACTAAAATTAAAAAGCAAAAGTAAACTATTTTTGTGATTTTTCCAATTCTTATAAAATAACAATTTTACTACTTAATTCAAAAATTCAAAGTTAAATCCTAAATACAAATGCAACATATTTTGTATTTTTTATTAATTAAATAAAATAAACATGCACAGACAAATGCAAGTAATTAATCAAACAATGCTACAAAAATTCACGAAATTGCAAACAATGAAAAAATTATTTTGTTTTGAATTTGTGGGAGTAATTCATATAGGGCAAAAATCACGTTCTCACATATGGCCTATACTATTTTTTTTTCTTAAGGTCCATCACCTATCATCTCTTTCTTCATTTGACTATAGGTTCTGTAACACTCTACCATTGTCATCCATGTATCACACCTTATTCATAATGCTTCTTTATCTCTCTTCTCATTACTCTACTAATATTTTTGCATATCCCCTTCTTTTTTTGTGAAAACTTCAACACGACATTCTTTCGCTTTTAGCTCCCCTTTGCTCCATTCACGGGCTCTTCGGGTTGCCTAGCATTATCTCTCTACTAGAGACAGGAGTCATACAAAGATAATATTTATCCTTTCTAGGCTTCCAGCGCCTATCTTTGTAGCACTCATATCTAGTGGTACTAGTTTAAAACGCACCATCTAGGTGTTTCACAAAGAGATCTATTAGCACTTTTTACAATGTCCTTCGAAATTATCAACTAACGCAAACCATCCATTTACCAATTTGGGTTACCCTAACCCCAGCCGGATCTTGATATCTCGTCCTTCTCTAAACTATACATGTTAGCCCCTACAGGGCATAAGTGGAATGGGTGTGACCAATTGTACATACCTCTGTTACTGCTGAATATAACTCAAAAAGCTTATATTCCCCTGCCTGAATTATAAACACTGTTAACCTTTATTAACTAGGTGTCTCGTACCCTTCTTCATCTTGCTTCTTTTGCTTGTTGAAACTTTTATTTATCTTCTTAATCTCTCATTGTCTTTCACCATTAAAATGGATAGGCATTCTTGCCTTAAGGCTTCTTATCAGGAAGCTTACACCTTTCAGTACACCCATGATCTGCTAAAGACATCACATTTACTTATTGTAGGCATCATACAAAATTGAGTTCCTCTTACTCAATTCTTCCATAGCTGTATTCAATCTCTAACCAATTAGAGGTATCGTCATATTATAAATAAAATAGAAGCTAGGAGTTTGAATTCTTATAAGTGAGCTTTACCACACGATCTAGAATAAGAAGAAAGAGTGACAGTCTTAAATGCCCCGTAGCCTCCTTCTTATAAGTGTGGTGCATGACAATCCCATAAATAAGACTCTATTAGACACAACTTGTAGACATCCCTAGGAAAGAACTGCTCTAATACCATTTTTTGTCAGGACACAAACCGATGGGCCGCGATGGGTAACCGGTACCTTACTCAACCGAGTACCAACATAACATATCTTTCTTATTACATCATCATATACACGTGACATACGGACCTAATAGGCTAACATGATCATTTATAAACTCAAAACATAGGCCAACAAGACCGTACAATCTTTCACGTACATAGCATATGTCTATAAGCCTCTAAGAGTACATAAATGTCATAAAGGCCAGGACAGAGTCCCGACATACCAAATGAGAAACTCTGAAGCAAATAGAGCGCACCAACATCTTCCACTGAGCTGATAGCCTACTTGGAGGGCTCTCAACCTGTTTATCGGGACCTGCGGGCATGAAATGCAGCGTCCCCAGGCAAAAAGGACGTCAGTATGAATAATGTACCGAGTATGTAAGGCACATAAATAAATACATAAGAGACATGGAAGAAATATAAGGTACATGACTCAACCTGTAAGTTTGAATAACTTGTAAATCACGAAATAACTATAGTATCATGCATATGCGTATGAATGTGATGTCATGCATAGGTACATGTNATATATATACGCTTATATAATGCCATTTGGTCACGGGTCAATGTACATGAATGCAATGCATGAAAAGTACGTTAATAAAATCTTTCGCAATTGTCATAAGACCATTTTACCTTTGAGTAATATCATAAAGTAACCTCTTTTTAGCTTTCGTATTTTTCTGAGACCCATGAACAGATGATAAAATATTATAACACATGGAAATTCAAGAACACAGATTTTTCTAATACTTCTATGAATAGAGTTATTCATGGAATTTGTGCATTTGCATGTTTCGCTCGTATCGTATGGATCATGCCAAATGAATAGAAGGGATAACCTTAACATACCTGTTCCTGGAATTATTTGAACAGAATAAAGTTTCTGCTTCTGTAAAATATGAACAAAATTTCTAATAGTATTTGAAATTGGAACAAAATTGTCTTCTGCTTCTCACATTTTTGGCCTTAAGACCAAAGACATAATGAGATGTAATCTTGTTCCAACGTTCTTGTTGAGTTTTTGCTTCTGTTTCAAGCCTTGGAATGGAATTGAATACTAGATTGTTATATCACATTTATGGTTTGAATGGAATGAAATCAGATTTCTAGCTTCTATTTTTATAATGAAATAGTTATCAAGTCTTATCATGATAAGACTAAAATTTATTCATTCTTTAGGTGTAGACACCTAACCACCATTTGTTATGAGTCACCTCCTAAATTGGTGGCCTTGTGCCACGTGGAGAGTGGGGTGAAGATTAGTAATCTTTACCCACTTATTAGTTAATTGGGTAATGTTCTGTTACCCGGTAATTAATTAATTACTCGCATAATTTAAAAATTATCTCGAATTACTTAAAATACTACTTTCTTTTAACACACCTTATACACCTTACTATCATGGCTATGTGGTATCTTGTATGGTACTAGTCCATAAATACTGGGTATTTTAGCTCGGGCCGTATTTCATCTCAAAATGTCAAATTTCGACAAAATTCGTTTTCTTCGATATTACTTCCCCTCTTACCCTCACGAATTTACTTATCACTTATAATCCTTATAATCCCCAAAAAAGCTTTTCTTTGGACTGATGTCAATTACCTTACAACAAATTCAACGTACAATACTACATAGTGCAACATCGTCGTAACTTATTGCTGCGAAGCGTGACGTCCCTGTAATGTAATGCTGCAAGGCATAACATCATCGTAATATATTATTTCAGAGCAAAACATCATTGTAATATATTACTACAAAGCATAACATCGTCGTAATACTGTGGGGCGTAACACATTCAATCTCGGAATTTTTTTTTATGATTCGGAGAGCTTTTGGAGGTGATTTGGGACTTAGGAGCATGATCAGAATGTGTTTTGGACGTCCGTAGTAGATTTAGGCTTGAATTAGCGAAATTGAAATTTTGGCATTTTCCGGTTGAGAGGTGAGATTTTGATATAGGTATGAAACCCCGGATTTCACATCGTTGTGCTACTATGAGGTGACGCACATGCTAGATGAGGAGCGTGGGGTCGTGCACCATTAGGGATTGCGACTTAGTCCGTCCCGTATGACTGTTAAACCGCGTATTTGATTGAAAACTGTTTGCTATCATTGTGTTTTGGAAAGTATCATCATGTTTTGGGCTGAATGCCATATTTGAGCCTCGTGCCAACTATTGTGGACCCTTAGGGGATTTTTACTATTATTCCTCACTGTGTTGACTTCATATTTATACTCAATCATGTTGTATTCTACTATTTCATAACTCAGCCATATTTACTCCGTTTTGACATTTTAAATGATATTTTGGGCGGAGCATCATATTTTACTGTGCCCGAGTGACTTTGAGAGATTTCTGACTGACTGAGGTCGAGGGCCTGTATTGTGAGGATATTATGGGATCGGGTTGCACGTCGCAACGGTGTTGTACTGATTCATGATTATGAGGTCGAGGGTCTGATTTGTTATGCCACGAGGTAGCTTGTTATGAGGCCAAGGCTAGTTTGATTATGCCACAAGATAGCTTGATATAGCGCTTGGGCTGTAGGAGTCCCTCCTAAGTCTGCACACCCTCAGTGAGCTCGGGTACCTAGTGTGAGATGTGATATTGTCCGAGGGGCTGTTGTTGTTTCATGTTATTGCCCAAGGGCTGATATGAGTGATTGTGAGGTAGCCCGAGGGGCTGGTTATGTTGGTATTTTGCCCGAGTGGCTGATTTATGTTTCTATCCTTCTCTCCCTTTTTTCATCACTCGTTTGAATTGCTGAAAGATGTTTTAAAGAGGTTTTTACTGAACTAAGATATTTTTACGAGCTTTTACTGAACTACTGCATTATTCTGGATTTATACTGTTTTGTTGTAGCATTATGCTGTGTTTTACATGTTTTCTTAGCGCTCAGTTGCCTTTACTTTTATTACTTACTGAGTTGGCGTACTCACATTACTCCCTGCACCCTGTATGCAGATCCAGGAGTCTCGCGTCACGCTAGCGAGTGCTGATTTGCTTTCCAGTAGGCTTATTCGCAGCCTAATGCTTCTCCTTCCTATCTTTATTTCACTTTGTACTAGCTCTATATTAGACTATTGTCATGACCCAAATCGATGAGCCGTGATGGGTTCCTGAGTCTTACCTGTCAAACACCCCTAAGCATGCGTCTAAGATATGAACCTGAATAACATCTGCTGAATTACGAAAATAACATATATGAAAGAAACCTGCCTACAAGGCATATGTATATATACAGGCAGAATACAGTGGGCGAGCCGGCGAGGTTGCTATAGACAACTATACATCCAGAATTGAAAGCCGACAAGGCCACATACAACCCAACTAGACATAC